GGGCCTTCCCAAAATCCGGGCGTGATCGGGCGTGAACATAAATTTCCCGTGAATCACGGAAATTTTAATTTTAAAATTGTTTTTTTATAAATATAAATTTGCAATTTTATAATTATATTATATATTTTCTTATTTAATTTAGTTCTTTTTTAAAAAAGAATAATTTATGAAAACTAAAAATCTTCCGCATTTTATAAACAACATCCGGTATCATATCGTTAGTTCTATTTTCTTTCTATGTTTAGGTGTTTTTTATCGCAAGACTTTATGCTAAATTTTGCTTAGACTTTTTACAGAAAAGTCAGTTATATTTTATTTGTAAAGATCTTCAATCTTTAAATACAACAGAAAGTGAAGGATTTTACAAGCTAGGCCAAGAGATATATATTGGTGTTACATAAGATAACAAAATATAAATGTGAACCGGAAAACTCTCCTGAATATTCTAGGTCCAAAAATATACCATGAAAAAATTTAAGATTAAAAGCATAATCAATAATAATTACTTGTCCATAATCACTAATATTTGGACGGATGACTATAAAAATCTAAGTTTTTTAACCGTTATAAGACATATTATCATTAAGGATTATAAATTAAAAACATTTATTTTGGTCACAAGGGCAATGGATGAATAAAAACGTCAATATTAAAAGTGTAGTCAATTCAATTTTAGGAAAATATACAGAAGTAACTTGAAAAATGCATAGTTGTGAGTGATAACGGAGCAAATCTTATAAGTGCATTGAAAGATGACGAAACGCTAGCAAGTATATGCCTATACTAAATAATGCATTATATTTTTGACAATTGTTTAACTGAAATAGCCTTAAATATAAATGGTGTAAATAAAATAGTACAATATTTCAAACAATCTACAGCTAATAGCAAACTAAGCCACACCCTTAAACAAGATGTAATAACGAGATGGAACTCTGTATATATCATGATGCGAGCCGTTTAACAACACTAGCTCGGATAATCTGAGAGCAGATTCTCGTCCCACAATAAATGAAGTTTGTCTATGGAAACAAAAATTAGTAAAATTTTGTTAACCTACCTTAAAATACAGAACAAGATTTCTTTTAACCCATTAATGGTCAAGATTTTTCTAGTGGATAAAAATGCTAAATTTTTCAAATTATATTGATTAATGCTCAAATATGATATTCTAAAAAAATCAACTAAAAAATAATAATACTAAATAGAAAATCTTGCCTGGTGCATATCTGCACCGTTAACCATTAAGAAGTTAAAAAAGATAAAAATTATGTTAAAAGATTAAAAAACAATTTCTTTTTTTGTAATTTATAATAAAAACGAGAAAATGTTTTTATATATTATGAAAACATTGAAACATTTGATTTGAAGTGCGATTTGACATGTTTGGCACATATTTCTTGAGTGCATATGGCAGTATCTGCATCCATGTTTTTTTCCATCTATAATTTTGGGTAATAATTTCCAGATAAATCAGTAAGGTTTTCGCTCTGTAATGCAAACTGGCTCGCGTGCCCTGTACTTAAATTTTTTTCAACTTTTAATGGTGTTCGAAGGAAGTAGTAACTTCTACCTAAATGCAAGCAAACTCTTCTTGTCATCTCGATTCGTGAATTTCCAGTTTAGGCTATATCGATAAAATTGGTGAATATTGACCACCATTCTTTTTTCCCCTCTTTTTTTATTCTATATATAGATATGAGATTATCACACAGATCAAGTCCACCCATGTGTTTGTTATTAGCAGTGATAATATTTGGTTGAGGAATTTTTATTTTAAAAGATCTTGGAATACTCGTCACTACCGAATTATCATTCCAACGAACTAAATATTTCGTTTAATTTTTCGAACCTATAATCATAATATCCTCTTTCTTTTTTTGCTACAGCATTTATAGATTCAACTGCGCAATGCTCTATTCTATTATCTACAGCAGTAAAATATCCCATTTGTTTTAAATATGACACAAGTTTAATTGAGGTAAAGAAATAATCAAAATATATTTATGATAATTTGTTTTGTAAGGCCTAACTTTATAAAATCTATCATGTATATCTATTTTAATATTGTCTGCCAAATGAATATTATATTTCAAATTTAGTAATTGAAATTGGGTCATTGCATTCCGGATTATTGGAATAGAAATATTTAGACCAATACATCCTTTCCTGTGGAAGCGAATGATATCCAGTAAATAATAGAATTCCAATAAAACTCTTAATATCTGAGATGGTTATACATTATTAGGCCTATTCATTTGTTTTGCATAAATATTACTTTGATCTACAATTAGTTAATATAAGTCTTCGCCGAAAATTAAACAAAATATATCTGATGGATTTTTACCATGCAAATTTTCTTCAAGTTTTATATTTCATTGGGATTGTAGAATATAACGTATTTGTTTTCTCCATTTTGAATAGCGAGAAATTTCAGAATAGATTCTTATAGAAGATAGTTCTGGAATGTTATCATCGATTGAAATATGAATCTCCAATTCACCAGCAGTATCTGAAGATAAAACTCTGTCATTTGTTATGTCATTTTAGAAAACGATTCATTTAAAAATTTTAATTAAATATTTATTTCGTAGAATCTTAATTTTTTAATTAGTCATCTATTATTTTGATTGAATTGGCAAAACAGGTGCATAATAAAAAAAATGTTCAGCAAGGAAGAGGGTACAAATAATTAAAAAAATTTATGAATAAATTTAATTTTCTAATATTTATGAACTGAACCGAATATTTGCGAATAATTTCATATAATTAGGTCGAGATAAAAAATTATAAAAGAAACATATTAGATTCTCAGGGGGCTCAAAAAAAATTTTTGAAATAATTTTCAAAATACCTTTTTGGGGTATAAAAATTTTTTTCAAAATGTTCAGGGAGCTCAAGCCACCCCTCCCACTCCCCCCCCCCCTTAGTGATTTTACTAGTTTTAAGTATAATTTAAAATTCATTATGTTAAATTTGATTTGTTTGAATTTTTTAATAATTTATACTGCTAGATGGTTAACGGTGCATATATACACCAGTCAACTTTATATGGTTACCTATTAAAATTTTAATTGTTTAAAAATTCAAAAATGATTGATAAATATTGATATATCTATAAAATAAATATACACACTAGTTTTCATCGAAATAATTTCATAATATGCACCTGAGATCACTTAGAAGACTTTGCATTTTAGACCTCATAAATTCGCCATGTTTGAGGGCTTCTTAGGGACATTAAAAAATATTTTTTTCATATTTTTCTTTTCCAGTTTTGAAGTACATGTCTGAACTATATAAAAACCTTTTTTATTATTTTTTAAAATAAAAACTACTACGTTTAAAAATGATATATAGGAGGTGGTGTCTAAATTTTCACCGTTAACCAGTAACGGGTTAAAAGATTATTATGCAGCCACTACATAAGGTAGATTTAATTCTAGATCAGAATTTCAAAAGACTTAAGTTTTAATAAAAGAACGAAAGGATGATATATATAACAATCTTAAAAATGCTAAATGATATAAAATTAGATGATATGCATAAGATGCCAACTATCATTTATAACTTTCCTAACTTATCCTTAACTCATAAAAAACCGTATATTCTAAATGGTCATCACCAGCTACAAGTTATAACTTTCCTAATTCATCTTACACTCATAAAAGACCGTATATTCTAGATAATTTAGAGAATTTTTAGATGATTCTGATGAAGCATCAACATCACCGATGAAAGCTGTGAGGATGAACTTAATAGATTCATATAGGATAAATACAACAATATTTTGAAGTTTTGGAAGCAGGAATATTTATTTCCTTTTTTGAGAAATTTATCGAGGAAAATTTTGTCAGCTGCAAGTTCAGCTTCTAGTGAAAGGTTATTTTCTGTAGCCAATCTCTTATTATAGGAAAGTCGTACACAATTGAAATAAAAAGAGATGGACATTCTTCTTTTTCTTAATAAATTTCGATTTATAGATTGTATTTATTTTTTGTTATTAATATGGATTATAATTAGAGAATAAATAGAATGAATTTAAAAAAGTGTAAAATTATAGCAATAGTTTTGAAAAATCTAAAAACACCGTGAATTTTCGGGCGTGACGGCGTGAATCAAAATATTGCTTCGTGAGCGGGCGGGTAGGGTCGAAAATTTTTTAGTGGTAAGCGTGAATGGGCTTAAATTTTTTTATTGCCACCGTGAGCGGGTGGGCCGTAAATGAAAAATTAGGCCCGCGCCCACATCAAGTTATTACCCTATCCCTCCCCTATGTAGACGCTGAGAGCCTTCTATTTATTCACTTAATTTAGAAAAAAATATTTAAATATTATAAAATATATATATGTTAACATCTGTTATATTTTCAACTTAAATCATTTTTTGAGCGCGTTATTTTAAATTTAAAATGATTTTACCGAAAATGTATTAGATCATGTTTAGAATACCTACCCAATAAATTTTAGACAAGTTTGTCATGAACTTTAGAACTTAATAATATTTATATTAGATTTTCCAAAATTTTTTATATAAATAACATGATGAAATGTATTTCCTGTAAAATCCGATTTTTAAATTTTAAAAAACACACTCAAAAAATGATTTACAGTTGAAAAAATAATACATTGCCGGAAAAAACACATTGACATTAACATATATATTTATATAAAAATTAAATTTTAACCAATCGTAAAAACAACCATAGTCAAATAATGTTAATTTTTTTTAACTAAGTCAGATTACTATTAACTTTTTTAAAATAGCATAAAAATTAAAGTAATAATTTGTTCAAATTCTGGAGATATATCATTTTAAATAAAATCTATTACTCAATTGATTATTGTAAGCATTAAAAAATGATTTAAGAATAGTCTTAAAAAATCAAAGAATTAGCAGTATCGGAATTGGCTGAAAAATCCGGAATCGCATATCTTTAACATATAATAAAAAAAAGTAAATTACTAATTTTAGAAAATATTTGTTCAATTTATCTACAGGTTCACTTGCAGAGAAAATCTGGGTAGTCAATCTAAAATCAAATGTTCCAACTGCAAAACTTATCAAGAGTCCACCAAGCAACTCACCATGAGAAAATTGCCCATTGTAGCTTGCTTCCATTTAAAAGTTTTCGAAATTTCTTAACAATTATTATTTTATATCACCAAATTTTAAATTTATAGTTATTGACTTTGAGTATATAATGGAGATAAATCTTTTAATGTTTATTTGGAATCAAAATATTTCGCTCAAATCAATTTTATCTAATTTTTTGCTCAAATTTTATTTAATGTTAATATAAAGAAATACAGTTATAAATATATTAAAAATTATTTAATCAAGTTGGGCGGTTTTGTTAATTAAGCTATTTTTACTTTTATAATTAATAAATCGTCTAAAACCCTTCAATAGTTTATTTGTTAAATAAATTTTAATTGTTTGAATATTTTGTTTCCATTTAAGGAAATTTAATTGACCACATTCAATTTCTATTGCAAAATAAAAGTATTAAATCCAACAAATAACTTTATTTTTGTCAATGAAAGACAAACATAAACAAATTCGTTTTTTTATTGAAAATTCTTGGTGTACCAATTACCACTTACTATAAAATAGGATTTATACAACTGCTTAATATATCAAGCATAAATTTATTAGGACTAATAACTATTTCTAATACACAATTTTAAATTAATGTGAATTATAAAATAATTATATTTAAAGAATCACTTAAATGACCCAAAATAGAAATTTGAATTTTTTGATTTAAAATTTATATAAAGTATAAAAAATTTAAATGTTAGAAATATAAATTAATACACAAAAAGTTTCTTAGGAATAATTGTATTTTGTATGTTATATATTTACAATGTAAAATCCAATCTTCGTTGGGATTGAGCTAATTTTTCAATTATCTCATCCTTGCTTGTCGTCAAATGCCTATGAATATTCAAAAGATCCAAACCTTTCAATCTACTTTCAGAAGTTGTACTTCTTGGTATGTTTTTCAGAGATCTGCAGGCCTTATTTAAATATACCCAGGCCGGGCCTGAATTTGAAAATTTTTTTTAAAATAATATCCGGGCCGAGCAGTATATTTTAAAACAGCCTATATTTGAAATCATTATTATTAGCTATAAAAATCAAAAATAAATATAATTTATTTTTAAAAAATCCGGGTCGGGCCTGAAAATTTTATTTAAAAAAAAGCCGGGCCGGGTCTAAAATTTTTTTTTTAAAAACCCTAGCTGGGCCGTAAAAATTTTAAAAAAAAATTCGGGCCGTGCCCTGCAAATGGTACCTCTGCAGGGCTTTGTTATTCTTCTTAAAAAAGAGAATGTTCTCTCATTAGTTTACTAATGGGAAGAGTTGCTAAAATATAAACCCTTTTAGTGTTTGAAATAATGCAGAGTATCCATAGCATTTTTTCGAACTATATCAACCCTAGTTAATCTTATAAACATAGTTATTCAGCTAATAAGGCATCATAAGATACTTTAACATCTTCATGGTAAAAATCTAACAAATATTTTTTTTTCTATCATTATCTGAAAAAGGTTGGGAAGGCTTTTATGGAAGTAATATTTGCAGATTGGTAAGTGCTGCATGATGAATTAAAAACCATTCATTTATTTGGGTTATAAATGTATCTATATCTAAGATATACTCTTCTACTGATCCTATATTAATGTTTTAACTATGAGCTTGCCTTGCTGCAAGTCGAGGGAGACAAATATTAAACACGTATAGCTCTGCTTTTGGCTTAACAATAACATATAATGAAATTCTTCATCAACATTAGCCCTAATTTCCTTGAATTCTAATAAAATGCTTTCCTCTATTCTCATCTTCTTAATCAAGTCAATGTCATGTTTTAGAAAAGTAATACATAAAATAGTTGTATAATTAAATAATACATTCTAATGAGAAAAAATTTTGGAATAAGCATTGAATCCAATAATTTTCTTGCTTCTGAGGAAATATTTCTTTCAGGCCATTGCGATATTTCAGTAATAGCAAATAATCGGCTCTTCTAATTCCATAAAGGCTGTTACTGCTTGATGGCGGAGACTCTATCTCGTTGGACAAGGTTGCAATTTCTTTCTCCCTGTTGGACAATTTCAGAAATAATTATTATTTGACTAGAAATTTTAAAATGGTAGATAAATATTACGCCACTAAAAATTTGAAAATAATAAACTTGAAATCGAAATTAATTGATAAAAACTTAGTTGATGAATAATAAATGTAATTAAATATATATTTAATATGAGATAGGAATATATATTAACAAATATAAATTAATATAAACAAGAATATTTTTTAAAATATATCCGGCATACTTTTTGGCTTTGAGGGGGGGGCTGCGTACGCGCCTATCATAAGTACTTTTAAAAATAGTTGGATCTCTTTGCTTTTAAGTTATCGATTTGTTTGGCGATTTTTATTCCACTATTTAAAGTATCCATATTTAGATTAAGTAAAGTTAATCCACTTTAAATGCTGGGAGATAACAAAACGAATACTTTTTATAGCAAATTTATTATACATACACAATTTAAAAGACAATTGCACAATTCGAAAGACATTAAATAAAATAAACTTTACATATTTTAAAAAAAAAGAGTATTCGTCAGCAACAGTGGCACACTCTTTGTATTTAAAAAGTTGTATTAGTTCCAAATATGGCATTAAAATTTTACTTACTATATTTCTCATGTGTTATTTTATTGAAATATCAATAAAGTTTTACTGATTAAGAATTAGATAAAAAAATTAAGAATTAAATTATCCATTTTAAAAAAATTAATAAAAATTTTTTTTATTTGGTCAATAAGTTCTATTAATTATGATTTGAACTTAAAAGTCGATTTGAACAAAAACACATCTGGGAGCACTCCAAAAATCGAGGGACTATCTCTTCTTCATCACTTCTCACTCCAAGGCTAAGTCCTCTATGAACTTCATATACATCCTTTACTATATCTATTAATTCGCTGCCGAGCAAAATTGCTTCTCCATTAGGCACACCTGATGTCATCTCTAACAACAGTCCGTAAATATATCCTCTTCATCATTTCTGCCCATTTGTGGTGCATAAGCTGAGTGTTTAATATTTTTTTTGCAACGACCAATTTAACGACAAATATTCGATCATTCATTTTTCACATCCAATGAAAATTTTTAGTTATTAAAATTTATTTAGCTAAATTAATTAAATAAACAAGATAAAATATCTATTCACTCAGTAACCATTAAATGAAAGCACAACAAACAATATCCACCTTTTTTATTCCTTGAAATACTAGCATTGGTGAATTCGTCTAATCCCGTGGTGATTCTTCTCAACAACTTCTTGAACATGATAAGTCTATCAATGAAAGGGATTAATTAATTATACAATTAAGAAATTGCGAACTATTTCCTGCTTATCACGCGAAACGTTAATTAGACCAATAAATATCAACTTATTCTTATCCGAAGAGGGCGATAACTTTTTCAAAATATCTCTTTTCCTAGTGAAGTTTAAGATATTAAAATTTCCTGCCCGTCACGCCATCATCCATATTATAAAGTTAAAGAGGACGAATATAGATAACGAATATTCTTTTAAAATACCAATTTTCATAGTGGAGTATAACTGAGCCGCTCTTACGCACTGGGGTGTACTTGGGCATGGTAATGCAAAATTCCTCTACTGAAGCCGACTCCAAAACGACTTAGCCCAATATATAGCCTAAAAAATTAGCTCAGCTTTGGAGTGCTAGCCAAAAATATCGGCTCAACCTTGGAGAGCGAGCCAAAAAAATTGCTCAACTCGGTGCGCGTGCCAAAAAAATCTCTCAACCTTGGAGCACGAGCCGATAAAATCGACTCAGCCTTGAACTCATCTGTGTATTATCGCATTCCAATTTAATAAATCCTGGCTCGGTCCTGAACGAATTTTTTTTATTTGTCCATAAAATTAATTCCAATATTTGTTAATTAAAATAAAATCTTACCTTTTTACCCCCTTTATTGTATAATGACACTCATTTCACTGTAATATGGGGATGATAATTATATTTTATTTTATCCTTTATAACCTTAAATTCTCAATGTTCGAAGAGATCAATGGATACACTCTTTTTTAATGATGATTGTTTTTATCATTTAAAATAGATTAAATTCTACCCGACTTTTTATTATTAAAAAATAACAAATTTAAGAGCAGGAAATTAATTAGAAAGAAGAATAGAAAATTTTGATTTTGAATATTTAAAAATTAGGTAAAAAATATGTTTATAAGGGTAGGTATTTTCCAGAGTTGTTTAACCTTTCTTTTAAAAGAGCGCACTCTGCTATCGTTACCCATCAAAAAAAGTACGATATTAGCTACTATTTTTTAAAAGTAGCTTTGACTACTTTTTATAAAAAAAATTAGAAATAGAAATAAATTTGTTTTATTTTTTGCTTATAATGTAATTGCATAGTATATAATACCATTTATAAATATCTAAATATATTTCGTTTTGATTATAAAAAATTCATGTAAAAAGACTAATTTATGTAAAAAAAATAACTATCTATGGTAATATTCATTTTTTATTAATTTTTTCCCATTTTAATAATAAAATCATTTCTATATTATCATCCCCAAGTCTAGAGCGACCATCAGAAAGTTTAAGTTTCGCCTTTCTAAATAATCTCTCAGCACTAACAATTGAGCGCAAGACAGTATTTAATTTTATATACATATTTTTAATATAAGAAAAATTTTCAAAAATACTCATTTGTATTTTTAGATTTAAAAAACTCATCTAAGGGATTTTCTATTATATCCTTAAAAAAATTATCAAGGGAGGTCGTTTTTATGGTTCTAACTAGGGCATCTTTGTTTGCTATCTCAGTCTTTAGTGTCTGGCGACAATAAATTGTTGTACCAAGAGATAGAGTTTTAATCATGGTATAAATTATCAACCAATGTCATTGGCTGAACTGTATCAATTATAAAATCGACAATAACTTCAGCCAGTTTCTGAGAAATATTGGTATATGCAGTGGCATAGCTAGGATTTATCCAAAAGGGGGATTAAAAAATTATTTTGGGTCTTCGCCCCCAAACTCTCTTTCCTCCGGCCTTCGGC